AAACATAGCGACGATAATAAGTGCACAATCCCAAGAAGCTTCTTATGTCGTGGACATTTTCAGGCACTAGCCATTCTTTCACGGCCTTTATCTTCTCTGGATCCACGGCCACGCCCTTCGCTGATACAACATGACCCAAGTAAGAAACTTCCTCGCGGAAAAGGTGGAACTTTGTCGGACTGAGTTTCAAATTGGCCTCGCGTAACCGCTGGAATACCGCTTGCAAATTCTGTAGATGTTCATAAAAGGTGCTTTCAATCACTATGATGTCATCTAGGTATACCAAGCAGGTCTTTCCAATCTGATCACTGAAGATTTTCTCCATCAACCTTTCGAACGTCGCCGGGGCATTGCATATACCAAAAGGCATAACTGTAAACTGCCAAAGGCCCGTGCCGATCGAGAATGCGGTCTTTTCCTTGTCGGCAGCATCTAAAGCAACTTGCCAGTATCCGTTCTTCAAGTCGAGTGTGGAAAACATTTTCGAACCAGAAAGCATATCCAAGGTGTCATCAATCCGTGGTAGTGGATAACTATCTTTCTTAGTTGCGTTGTTGACCTGGCGGTAATCCACAAAAAACGGGTTGTTCCATCCTTCTTCTTTACGAATACTACCGGTGATGTCCATGGACATGAGGATGGCTCAATTATGCCGGTCTCCTGTATTTTGTGGATTATTCGCTCTGCTTCTTCCTTTTTGACCAAGGGTAATCGTCTAGGTCTTTGATGAATAGGCTGCGCATTTCCGGTATTGATCTTGTGTTTTACGATATTGGTCCTTCCCCTACCATTCTTGTCAGTCTCAGTCGGCATTCTGACAAAGAAGATGTTGCACTTTACATTTCTGCTCACTGGTTAGATTCCTGCAATGTCTGTCCATCACTCCACTTATTTCAACAGGTATTGTTTCAGAATTTACCTTTCGGGTTACAGTCTCCTGTCTATCTTTGTTGAAATAGAATTCTTCGCCATTTAGTCTTAGAAGGCGTCTTCTTAAATTCATGTCAAAATCGTATTTTTGTAAAACGTCCAACCCAAGAATTACGTCATCTTCAATATCTGTCACAAGCACTCGATGGTCAAAGACAATCTTACCGATTTCAAGTGAGACGTTAGACGAACAACCGCTTTTTCTCCGGTAGCCGTACGCAGAACCCACTTAGTTGACACGACTTGGTTAGTACGCTCAATTACGCCGGGTTTTACTATGCTCCTAGCGGCCCCAATGTCCAAAAGAAACACGCATCTTCGGCCATTTATTTTTCCACCTAGGAGAAGACTGTCATTCTGGTGCTTCAAGGTCTTCGTAAATGCGATAAATTCGGGGTCTTTTTGTCCGTAGGTCAACGTTTGCCCCGTTACGGCGACCCTATCTAGTTCTCCTGTTGTTGACGTCGAGTACTTGGGGAAGGAGTACTTTTCCTACACTGCCTCCTCGTGTGACCTAGTTCGCCGCAATTCCAACATCGTAGCCTTCGTATTTCATTATCGAACTTGGAGATGATTCCGCAGACGGGTTCTTCTAGAGATTCTGACGAATCCGTTTCTTCACGCATTAGCCGAACCGTTCCCTGTCTGCTATAGGTCCGTTTAACAGTTTCGTACTCCAACGCACGAGCCAATGCATCAGCTAGCGTCTGAGGTCGGTCAAAGCGTATTCGTTGTTGGGTATGACTGTCCCGAAGTCCATCAGTAAATGCCTACACCGCCAACCTTTCCATCAATTCTTCTGGAGTATTAGGATAGGCCAGTCGGGGCAGTCTCGCAATATCGACTTCGAATTCTTGTAGGGATGCCGTTGGTTTCTGTTGACGGGTTTTCAGTTGGATGTGATACACCGCTGTTAAATGAGCCTCGCCGTAGCGCAATTCCAACCGTTTTACCATCTGTTCATAATCCGCCAACTCTTCAGGGGAAAGGGTGTTCAAAATGTCACATGCATCTCCACGAAGCGTAACGGTGAACGCAGTGGCTTTTTCTTCAGGCGCCCAGTTATTCGCCTTAGCAGCCGCCCAAAATTGCTTATGGTATGTGGCCCATGAGGACTTTCCATCAAACGTTGGTGGTTTTACTCGTGTTCTTGACTCTATACCGCTTCCTTGGCTGATTTGTCTGGCTTCGTTGAGTGTACTAGATGCACCCTTTCGGTTTGGTTTTGTCTTTCCATTAAAAATCAATTCTTCCAGCACTTTTATCTTCTCCTCTGTTTCTTGAATATTCTTGATAAATTTTTCTTGCCATTTATTTTGCAATTCACGTTTCAAACTTTTACTGTTTTCTTCCAATTTATTTTCCAAACTTTTACGGTTTTTTTCCAATTCACGTTTCAAAGTTTTGCTATTTTGTTCCAATTTTTCTTCCAATTTATTTTCCAGACTTTTACTATTTTCTTCCAATTGTCTTTCAATTTATTTTCCAAACTTTTACTGTTTTCCTCTATTTCACGTTTCAGACTTTTACTATTTTCTTCCAATTTATTTTCCAAACTTTCACTGTTTTCTACCAATTTATTTTCCGAACTTTTACTATTTTCTTTCAATTTTTCCAATATATTTTCCAAAATTTTGGTCATTTGCGACACTTCGTCTTCGAAGAGGTACGTTTCAGGATCATGGCCATCCTTTTACAACGCCTCCGCGAGCCGCCACTGAAGTTCCGCTTTGTTACCACTTGTCGCTTCATCCCTTTCTTCCAACTCTCTTCTTAACTCGGCTACTTTTAATTCGTATGACTTCTTGCCATTGTAATGTTGTTTACTTAACCGCACACCTGACACCAGTTGTAATGTTCGTGGGTTTAACAAATTAAATTTTAAGAAGAACACTATTGATTTACACTAATTACTATTAAATTTAAAAGCACTATTAAATTATTACTAAACTTCGGTAATTATTCTATTTATTTACACTAGAGTTACTATTCACTCTTCTATTTATTTCACTTCTATCACTGTCAATTTATCTCTTGATCCACCTCTGCAACGGTCAATTTATTTCTACTCCACTTCGGCGATCGTCTCTTCCTTTTTATACTCCCTTGCCTCCTTTCGGGAACGATCTCCAGCCATCAAGAGAAGTCTCGTTTTTTTTGAACGGTTTAATTGCTTTCCCGGAACGCAGGTACGACTCACACGTTTACAAATACGGCGCACATGAAGAAATGCGCCCGCGGCTAGTCGGCGAATCGATAAGCCGCTCACACACACATGTGCCCGATCGCACACAATCACGCTCGTGGTCGCTACAATACTTTTACATAATCGATAGAATTTTTATGAGGCTTGGATATAATAGAAAATGTCGAATTAAAATAATGTCGTGACATAATAGTAATGTTTCTTAACAGATTAAAATTATGTCCCTACATATTAATANATAATTATGTCTACACATAATAATAATAATTGAACGTTATTCCCATACCTTCTCATGTATTTTGAATTAATTTTAAGTCAAGACATAATTTTAATTAATTTTTATTATGTTGGGACATAATATTACTTAAAAAAAATCTGCTGCATTTAAAAAAATTCTTTTTAATTTTACCAGATAAAATTCTTGCTATTAAATAGCAAAACGGCTTGCCATATGATTTATTGTTTTATTAATTCAAGAGAATCATAAATTATTTTTAAAAATTGTGGCCTGTAAACATAATTCAATGGAAAATTTTAGGCTATGCAGTACTTTTCTTTCGAAACTACGGATACAAATCAACTCGCAGCTGAAAATCAGTTTCAAGAAAGACTTGTACTCGCTGCAAATGATAAGGATGCAGCAACTGTTCCTTTAAAAATTGACACACTGAGAGGAGCCAACGTTCTCTGCTTTTCCACGTGTAATAGTATGGGGAATTGATCTATGAAATCCAGGATTTCGTCCTTACAACGATAGGGTTCAAACCCTAACTATGTTTAAGCGTTAAAAGAAAAAACGGATACTAGAGGTTTACTGTTAACTTTAACACTTAATCTAACCTAACAAATAAACAATACAGTGATTGATTATTAATTGATGTTCTATTGCTGAATTAGTTTATTGAACAGGACAAAGTTTAAACTTTAAAGGAAAAAACGGCTACTGGAGGTTTGTTGTTAACTTTAACACTTAATCTAACCTAACAAATACACAATAAATGAGAAAAAAAATACAATACAAGTACTGCACTGATACTAGTAATCACCAGCTCATTGGGCAGCGTTGCGGGGCGTATTTGTGAACCAGGACCGAAACTGAATTTACTTATATTTTCAACTACGTTTTCCTCGAAGATGGTGAAAATTTGGACATTCAAACATTTACTTAATTTTCATGTTTTATAGCGCTCTATCACCTCCTGCAAGCTTAGCACTTATGTCTGTTACACCCTGTATATCCCAAATAATTATGTTATCACCTTAGTAAAGCAGTAATATACTACTGCAGTTGTCCAAAGACGAGTATAAACCACACTGTATTAAATCTGTCGTCCTCACATGTTTCTACGTGATCCCTGTCTTGGTATTTCGCCACCTTACCTTAGCCAAAACACAAACAAAAACAAATAGGATACCAGTCGCTAGCCTATCGACGTTAAATGTACCATTGAAAAGAAGCAAGTAAAGAGGACAATTATTATTGAATACATATAGTTTTGATTTATTAGCTTTAATTTATATTTACATAACATTTAAAATTAAAACAAAAATAATTTTACATATTAAAATGAATATTTTACTTTAAAGTACTGTATATAGTCAGTTCAGTTATATTGTTTTGGTAAAACTAGAAATAAATAGTAAGGTAATGGAAAATATTTGTTGGTCGTACTGATAAATAAAAGTTCTCATAACTAAATTGTTATAGTTATAACAGAGAGTATTAGTAAAAAATACTATTTTTTATTGAACTATTTTCCAACGATACCTGTACGGAGTTGGTCTTTATATAAAATTGAATATCATACCATAACGGCACCGCAACGCTGTTCGTATCTCTTTCCTATTTAAATCTAAAACTCACCTTTAAATGAATGTGCTGTAAGGAACTGAGATCGGACAGAGCAGCCCATGGAACGTTTCTGATTCCATTAAAATTTAAATTTAGCTCCATTAAGGTAAGCAAGCTTTCAAAAGTCCCCTTTTCAAGGTTGTCTTCAATTTTATTAAAGCTTAAATCCAAGCTCAAGAGAGAGTTCATTGAAGGCCATGATTTTAGAGGTAAGCCTTTCAATTTATTATGAGACACATCAAGATGAGACACAGAAATAGGTAGCTGAAACAAACTTTGCAGATTATTTCCTTTTATTAGCAAAGTCCTTGTACTACTCAAGCGAGTAAGAGCACTCCTGGCGATGTCCTCCAATTCATTGTAATTAAGATTCAAATGTAAAAGCGTAGGCATCGTACCAAATGTTCCAGGTTTGATTATCTTGAGTTGATTATAACTTAAATCTAATGTTCGCAGTGAGAATAATGTTTGAAAAACTGCATTGAAAATTTCTGTTAAATTATTATGGGAAGAATCAATAGTGTGTAACTCGTACAACTTAGGAAAAGTTGCTTTTGGTATTGTAGTTATTTGGTTATAGGACACGTTTAGAACTTTTAAACCGTGCATGTGGGTAAGCGGAATCTGCAAAGACAAAACCATCAAAATAAATTAATATATAAAAAATAATAGAAGCTGAGATTATTTTTTACCTGATTCATTTGTGATAATAGGTTATGAGATAACCGCAATTCAGTTGCGTAACTAACTTCGTCAAAACTCTTAGGGGAAATTTCACTTAGTTTATTGTTAGATAAATCAAGTACCGTTATGTTAACGCAATTTTGAAATGCCGACTCTTGAATTTTTGATATATTATTTTTTGATAAATTAATTTCTGCTAAATACAGATCCCTAAATGCGAATTTTTTTATTTCAGAAACTTGATTCTCTGACACATCTATCACCTAAAATATTAATTGATTTATTAATAGTGTGTGAATAACATTTCATAAAACGGTTGTATTTCTTAGATAATTGGGAGGAATACAGAATAAGTGAGCTCCTCATATTAATTATGTTTCGATCTAATATGAACCCATCTGAAACAAATCAATCAGTGTCACTATTTTTATCACTATCCACATATTGAATACACCGAACGATTCGATAAGCTAATTTTCTAATTTAAATTACTTAAAAGTTATTTTATACATTATGGTGAATTTGGCACGGGATTTCTAGATTTGAATTTTCATTCTGCATCGCGCGGTGCAGGGCTTATAAGATCAGAAGTATATTGAGTAGATCAGGGATGGTCAACTTGTATGTATATAGGATCGACCTTTTCCCCTGAATAATTTGCCTCGGTCAACTATTTAGCACAGACACGTGAAACTTCAAACTGAAGTGAACTTTTAGTAGGATTATTCAAAATCGCAAACGTACATATGTTGGGTTTCATAAAGAAGATAGTTTTGTTTAGAAATTCTATGAGGAGTAATTATAAAAATATACAGATTTGCATTTCTTTCTACTGTTCCGTCTTTAATGAAAATCTTCTATCTTCCTATTTCCAATTAAGGAATCATAATTTGGTGTATATATATTAATTAAAACTGAGGGTCATGCACTATATGTCATGAATAGCAACCATTACTTGAAGCATATTTAGCTAATATTGAAGGCATTTTAAGCAACTTTATGTTGTTGAATTGACAAGTAAATTTCAAAAACTTGCAGTAATAAAGAGTTAGGTAACTACAAAAGATGTCGCAGAAATAGCAACATGTTTTTGTTAGTCCTTAAATGTTGTACTGCATGATCAACTAAAACTGTTCTGCTGAAAACATATTATAAAATGTTACTACAAAGTCATCAGGAGTGAAATTAACTGTAATAAGGTGTGGACCGGTGGGATAATTTTTTTTAAATCGACTGCACATTTTTTACAGTGCACCTTGAAAAAACCTCAAACTAGGGGCGAAACGTCGGTGCTGTTTTAATTATATTTCTTTTTGCCCCCTAATCGGCTCTAATTATTTTATTATACGAAAAGGGAAGTAGTAAATGAATAGTGTCAACCTTTCACATCATTGTATGTAGAAAAAATCGCCAATTATCTAAGTTTACAACGGAATTTAGAAATATAGTTTTAAAGTGCATTGATTAATTCTTATAAATAGCATGCAGAATAAGTACATACTTCCACAAATTTCAAATTGTCAAACATTTGATAGTCAATTTTATTAAGACGATTCCTTGCTAAGTCTATTGTTCCAATTTTTGATATAGTTCCAAAAGTTTCTCTGCCAATATCATTTATTTCATTGTCTGAAATGTATAATCTTCTTAGAAAACGAAGTCCTCTGAAGGAATTTGAGTCGAGTTTCTTAATTTTGTTATGAGAAATGTTCAACAGTTTCAGAACAGAGTTTCTCGCAAAAGTTCCACTGAAACAAAAAATAATTTTTCTTGCCTTTAACAAATAAATAATTTCAATATACAAAGTTCAGAATAACTATGTAACTAATAATTTTGTATCAATAATATTATTGATTTCAACTGAAATGTTTCGACTTTTACGTGATGAAAATCCAAATTTAAATATAGAACCACTTAAAGGTTATCACGAACCTTTTATTTCGTAACAAATGTTTCGCCACAGCATTGTTTCCTCAAACCAATTGAATATTTACCACTGATTGTAATTCCTGCTTGAGTTACTTAACCAGACGTTAGTCGCAAACGCTTTCTCAACGTTGTTAGTTGCAATGCATCACACAGATATATCATGAAGTTCATTGTTTTTAATATTTATTTATCATTGTATAATGTTTGTAACGACGTCATCATCATAAGGTCGTCAGTCCTAAGACTGGTTGGACACGTACCTCCACTCATTCCTATTCTGAGCTAAACATCGCATTTAGATAACAACGTATAATTTATTAAATTTCTTTTAACTAAATTTGTTTTGTATGGATATTATGTATTAGTTGGCCTATTGAATGAGAATTTTGAAAATTTCATCACAAACAAAACATTTTCAAGACTCTAATTTAGTCTTTGCTGTTTTTGCTACACATTTAACCCCAGGAAACTTGGGTTATCAGAGCATCTTCCTTTAGTTACCAGGTAATAGATACTGCGTCGTCCGTCAGGCAAGCACAACAGTCTTTTTCCCTTCTGTACTTGGTCTTCAAGATGTTCCAAACCGCCAAATCTGCGTTTGAACTCGGACGCGATACCACGGCTCATTCTGAGATCCTTTGAAACGCAATGGGCCCTCCAAATATCCTGTTAACGTGGGGGCCTTCCTTTATGAGCTCTTCGAATGTGGGCTCGGAAGGAATAGTTCTTAATAATCTGGCCCGCGCCTCCTCTTCATTTGCACCGGCGAATGGAGCCAAGCGATTAAAATGGACTACCTTCGGCTTCCCATTTGGAGTTTTCTTAATTCGGTAGATCACGTCGTTAATCCTCTTCACTATCTCATAGGGTCCTTCCCAATTCTGTTGGAATAGTCCACGGCGACGACGAGGATTATACAACCAAACAAGAACTCCAGTTTGGTAACCACCTGCCGTAGCGTTGATGTCGTAGTTTTCTTAAATCCTGTCACTAGCAATCTGCGCATGCAGGCGAACTGACTCGTGGATATCGTTAAACTTTCTTCGGTAGTCGTAACTACCTTCCAAAAAGGACACTGGCAGGTGTTTGGCCAGTCGTTTCGTGGACAGATGAACGGTATGCCATTAAGCCGATTCGAAATTCCTCCCTTGGTCTGAGTGTAACTCCAAGGGCACCCCAAAACGACTGATCAGCTCTTTCACCAGCTCCTCAACCATGGTTTCCGACTCTTGGTTCTGTGGGAATGGACCCGCCACATCGATTGTGATTCGTTCGAAGGGGCCACCGACATTATATTGACGTATTGGCGCCCTTGACCTTTTCTGTGGTCCATTACTCGCGGCACAGGTGGTACACTTCTTACATCAGTTCCTGACATCTTCCTTACAGTTCACCCAATAAAATCGCTCTCGAACTTTCCCAAGCGTCTTATTCACTCCAAAATGGCCACCACATGATCCAGCATGAAGATACTGCAACACCTCTCTAACCTTGTTTCGAGGAATAACTAGTTGCTTCCTATCTTCCTCTCCATCTGGACTTTCAACAACACGCTTCAGGATGCCATCCTCCAAAACCATTCAGTCCCACTGAGCCCATAACGATTTTAATACTTGGGTACAGGAAGAAACTTGCTGCCACGTTGGCCGTTTTCCGTCTTTTTTCCATTCCATTATCTTCTTCAAGTCCGGGTCGTTTTCTTGGTCGTGTTTTATATTGTCAGGTAACCATTCGTCATCGATTACCGTGACGCGTCGAATTGCCTCTTTTGTTCTTTTCCATTCGATCACACTGCTTGGAGTCGGTTTGACGTCGAGTACTTGGGAAAGGAGTACTTTTCCTACACTGCCTCCTCGTATGACTTTGTTTGCCGCAATTCCAACATCTTAACTTTCCGGTTGCTTTATCGAACTTGGAGATGATTCGGCAGACGGTTTCTTCTAAAGATTCTGACGAATCCGTTTCTTCACATAGTGGCCGAACCCTTCCCTGTTTACTATAAGCCCCTTTAACAGTTTCGTACTCCAAAGCACGAGCTAATGCATCCGCTAGCGTCTTAGGTCGGTCAAGGCGTATTCGTTGTTGAGTGTCACTGTCCCGAAGTCCATCAGTAAATGCCTCCACTGCCAACCTTTCCATCAATTCTTTTGGAGTATTCGGATAGGCCGGTCGAGACAGTCTAGCAATATCGGCCTCCGTTGATTTCTGCTGACGGATTTTCAGTTGGATGTGATACACCGCTGTTAAATGAGCCTCGCCGTAGCGCAACTTCCGGAGAAAGGGTGTTCAAAATGTCACATGCACCTCCACGAAACGCAACGGTCAACGCAGTGGCTTTTTCTTCAGGCGCCCAGTTATTCGCCTTAGCGGCCGCCTCGAATTGTTTGTGGTATGTGGTCGTGAAACGTTGGTGGTTTTACTCGTGTTCTGGAATCTATACCGCTCCCTTGGCTGATTTGCCTGGATTCGTTGAGTGTACTAGATGCACCAACATCCCCTTCGATTGGTTTTGTCTTTCCATTAAAAATCAATTCTTCCAGCACTTTTATCTTCTCTTCTGTTTCTTGAATATTCTTATTAAAATTTTCTTCCCATTTATCCTCCACGTTTTCTTCCAATTTATTTTCCAAAATTTTAGTGTTTTCTTCCAATTTATTTTCCAAACTTTTACTGTTTTCTTTTAATTTATTTTCCAAACTTTTACTATTTTCTTCCAATTTTTCTTTCAGTTTATTTTCCAAACTTTTACTGTTTTCTTCCAATTCACATTTCAAGATTTGCGACAATTTTGTCTTCGAAAAGGAACGTTTTAGGATCATGGCTATTCTTTACAACGCTTCTGCGAGCCGCCACTGAAGTTCCGATTTGTTACCGCTTGTCGCTTCATCCCGTTCTTCCCATTCTCTTCTTAGCTCGGCTACTTTTAATTCGTACAACTTCTTTGCCATTGTAATGTCTTTTACTCAACCCCACACCTGATACCTGTTGTAATGTTCGTGGGTTTAACAAATTAACTTTAAAGACTCACAACGACAAACACTATTTATTTACACAAATTATTAGTACTTAAAAACACTATTAAATTGTTACTAAACTTGGGGAATTATTCTATTTATTTACACTACTGTCACTATTCACTGTGCTATTTATTTCTTGATGCAACGGTCAATTTATTTTTAGTCTTTCACTTCTACAACGGTCAATTTAATTCTACTCTTTCACTTCTACAACGGTCAATTTATTTCTACTCTTTCACTTCTACAACGGTCAATTTATTTCTACTCTCGCTTCTGCAATGGTCAATTTATTTGTACTTCACTCGGCGATCGTCTCTTCCGTTATATACTCTTTTGTGTCCTTTCTGGAACCTTCTCGAGCCGTCCGGAAAAGTTTCGTTTTCTTCGAACTGTTTAATTGCTTTCCCGGATCGCAGGTACGACACATACGTTTACAGATACGGCGCACATGAAGAAAGGCGCCCGCGGCTAGTCGGCGAATCAATAAGCCGCTCACACACACGTATGCCCGATCGCACACAAATACTCTCGTGCTCGCTACAATACTTATCGCTCCTCCTTCTTTTTGTTCTTACATTTTAGACTAATCAACATCCTAGTGCTGCTTAACCTGAAGATGTCAAAATACGATACAGCTATCGTACAAGCCAATAAAGAAAATCTTAAAATGGAATATAATCATACCAACATCACTTTACAATGAAGATCACTAAAAGAAAGGAGTTAGTGGAAGATACACGCTTCGACTTGTACAGGCGTCGATAAAGCAACACTTAAAATTGGTGTTCTGTATCATGGAATTACACGTGCGACTAACACCCATCTAAAAAGGTACTACGAATATTTGGGGGAAACTTATCCTTTTTATGTAATTAAAAACAAAAAATGTAAAATCAATACTTTTGCAGATATGACTTATAAAATAAATTATTCTGATAGAAAGATAAATTAAATAATGAAAGACAGTCAGGAGTTCATATGCTAATTTGTAGGCCTTGCTCTGTAGTTTATATCGGACAAGCTGGTAAAAAACTTTAAAAAACGGATGTTAGACCACAGAAATAGTTATGAAAAAGACAAATGCTTATGGTAATTGTGTTACAAGTGAAGGATTTCTCTTAACGATAATTTACAAATTTTGCATATATGCATGTAATGAAGGGCAAAATTAACCTTCTAAGAGAATCTTGAAATCAATAGATTTAATAGTAATTAGAATAAGTTTTGAATGGCCATGTTGAAGGTAGTAACTTTCCTCTTTTGAATTCATTTTAACTGAATACTATCCGCCAAATATTTATGGTGTACATTTATGTAATGCAGATAGGTATTACAATCAGTAATAAAAATTCAATTCGTTTGAGGAAACATATACTATAAAATAAAAAGTTTTTATACTAGTACATCGTTGAACCTGCAGAGAATCTGATTACACCTCATCGAAGTTGTCTTTTAATATAATATGGAAATATACATTACACATATATAAATGTACTGAAATTATCTATTTAAAATACTCACCGGGGTAATTCTTTTAAATTATTTTGAGAAACGTTGCACCATCCAAGCTTTATTAAATCACTCACGTGGCTAACATCTAGCCTACTAATATTGTTGAAACTTAAATCCAGCACCTCCACTTCTCGTAAACCTTTAAATTGATTCTTCTTCAATTCTTGTATGGCATTGTTATGAAGGTTTAATACTTTGAGCTTTTTCAGTGGTTGTAAGCTCTCAATTGGAATAAAATTTAAGGAGCCGTCTGTTATTTCAAGATGAACAAGTTTATCGCTTATCGAACTAGCGAAAGCATTTTTTGGAAGCTCACTCAGATAATGTCCCGAAATTTGAAGTTTGGTTAGATTACCTAGAACCTTTAATTGTATATAAATAATGATGCCATTGAAACAAACTGATTAAGAATAACAATAAAGAATAACTATAAAGTAACGTATGAAAGTACTTTTTCTAGATGTAAGGACTTCTTGAAAAGCGAAAGTAGTCACCAAGCCTGCCTCAGTGGAGAGTAACTCCCTAAGGAACGGTAGGCAGCAGTATTGACCACGCTTCCGTATTGGTATAGTTTTACCAATTTATGAAAATTAAAGAGATGATTTAATAAATGATATACTTAAAAAGAATAAAAAACCCGACTGCGGTGGAAAAATACACCAAGTTTAAATTATTAAATAAATTATAGGTACTTACAACTAAAAAGCACAAAACAAGCAGCAACAATAGAATAGAATGAGAATGATAACACCAATGACAGTCATGGAAGCAAGTTTATGTTCAAAAAGAGATGCCGGATAAGTAGTATCATTGTAAATGAAGGAAAGCTGTCAAATGTATTTCATAGTAATGTTTTGTTAGACCGGGATGTTTTTCGTCGACTATTACTATTGTAAACTTATATGAAATATAAATTTTATTATAACTCAACGTTTTTGTTGAAATCCGTTTAAAAGGTCTAAGTGCATCAAAAACTTTTTCCTTTACTTTATGTATTTTATGATATAAATTTTAAAAGCTAATCTTACAACTAATCTGCTTAGTGTCTTTTTTCAGGTTGTCTTTAGATCAGCTTCTAATACGTCTAGAAGAAAATGAAATTGATGCAGGTGGTGCAAATATATTTATTGAACCCTCAAACGAAAACACCGTTGAATCTAAAGAAGTGATGCGTCAGATGAAGAATTAGGCGTCATATGATTCTAACCACGACGTTAAATTAGACCTATTCCGCAACAAAGTAATGCTTCTGATATCGACTCAGATGATAAAACACTGCCGTTATCAGTCCTTCAACAATACTGGATTTCCAATAGGCATACCGAAAGAAGCAAGCCAAGGAAAAGTAAGAAGAAACAATATAGTGGACCAAAAGTACTCCAAAAAACAACATGAACACCTTATTTCAACTTAAAAATCCTTCCCATGAATCATACTTTGCTAAATCTCCAGTTTGTATAGAAATACCTGGTAATTGTGGTGGTTTCTTGGCTTTGTATGGGAATGGCTTCTGGCCAACGCGAAAACCGATCGACGCAGGTAAGACAGTACTTGTATTATTCAGATTTTGGCATGGCCACGATGTCAAGATGCACGTGCTCGAATCGGCAGGATAGTGAATCGAACGCACGATACGTGTCGCAACACTTTCGTACGTTGACACGAACGCACGCACGATCCGATTCACGACAGTCTTTGTTAACTTACGGTCACACGTAACTCTCGGATACTTGTTTTACTGTTGCGTAAATGCCGGGGTGGGAATGACAATTCACGTTGAAGACTTCTCTTCGTAATGGCTGCGGAACCCACGGGCTAGCTACTCGCGTTGACACGTCACACAACAGGCAGACGTCAGACGCCAGCATTTTGACGAGTTTCAACTGAAGAGTAGAGGATTAACTTTCCATTAGCATTTTCAATTCATCGTTAACTCGCTGATCGGAGGCAAGTGAGTCCAGGCTGAAAACTGGTTCGATGGCCTCGATGTAGAATATTGCGTTGGCAATCCCGGGATGTGACGAATATCAGTAGTACATTGTCCAATGAAGTCGAGTAGCGACATTGGCGTGGTGTCGACTGCTTGTCCTTCTTGTACGCAAATGTTAAGGGCTTGTTGTAGGTGAAGATTGTAAATGCCCTTGCTTCTACCATGTGACGAAAGTACTTGGCTACTTCGTAAATAGCAAGCAACTCACAGTCATAAGCAGCGTATTTGTGTTTGGCGCGATTGAGCTTCCGGAAGAAGAAGGCAAGCGATTCCTAATCGCCACTGCAATGCTGTTGTAAAACGACCCCGACGGTGGTGTCGGTAAACAAAGCCATTGGTACGACGTTGTCTCCGGTGTTCATGTAAATGACATCTTACCGTTGGCTGGTCATTTAACGACACTTGTAGTAGTGCAGCCTTAAGTATGAACCTACATTAAAAGTTCAACATACCTAAGAACTGTCGCAGCTGTTTTATGGTTTGCGGAGTTGGGTAATTGCGGATAATGTTGAGCTTTCCTAGAGGTGGTTGCGTACCTTTCGCAGAGACGATGTAACCCAGATTTTTACCTCTGACTCACCAAAGACACATTTCTCAAGGTTGATTACCACATCGCAGTCTTGCAAGCGTTTGAATAGAATTTCCAGGTGCTGCAGGTGTTCTTGTGTAGACGACGAAGCGACAGTAGAAAAAGCAGTCTTCCGGGCAAGGCTTTGACTGGACTCCTGGATGTGGTGAACGGGTATTGATCGCTACTTGTTTTGTTACTATTACACCATATGTAACGGCGAAGACCAGCAGCTTTTGGAGGGTTGGGCAAAACCGAGTTTGAGCATTACTTCAAACTTCTTCTTGACTGCTAGTAGCTTATTGGGAGCAAGTCGTCGGGGTTTGTATTACACTGGCGGGCCAGGGGATGCCTGGATATGATACCGTGTCTAAAAAATACCAAACTTGACGGCACCGTCGGGAGGGATCATATCCGGCAATTTAGCTAGTAGGTCATGAAACTGTGTTGATCCATTGGCAATATTGATTATCGGCGTCGATCAGGTGATAGGTTGTCCTTGGGCGGTAAGCTTCGTCGTTGCGTCAATGAGTCGCTGATTTCCCACTTCTTCGAACAAGTCGTAGTATGCAAGAAAATCAGCGCCAAATTACAGTGATCGCTCGCGATACCGATTGTTTACATTTTTCAGATCGTCCACTTCACTGAGCAAACTCGCTATTTCGCGGTGGAGTAAAAGGGTTAACGATTTAAATTTTAAATTGATCCAAAAACGCATCGGACACTGTGGCAGACACTAGTAGTAACTATACTCGCACGTAACTGCCAGAAGAAAGGGCGGTTTCTAACGCACTTACGAGATTCCCTGACGAGGAGTCATTCACTGCCATTTTAACTATTTACACTTACAATTAAAAGTTACTACAATTGCAGTTTTTAAACGGTATTCCTTAAATATTACGGCACAAGTCACTATTTACACAAAGCACGTCGGGGTCACTACCTTGGTCGTTTAGAGATATACTTAGTTTGGCACGATACAAAAACAAAAAATTAAATGCGTGTAATATGCAGTTTTTATTCACTATGTTCAGTAATATTAAGGAAAAGGTTATATACAAAAGGATGTAGCGTAATAGAGAAGAAAATAGCGAGAAAGTTGATAGTTAAGGTTGAAGGATGAAAGTGAGATAACTGATAGCGACTTCCTATCTGTTCCGGTCTTTTATAAGGGTTTCAAAAGTTGTAGGAAAGTGAGTAAATGGAGGATTCTAGGTTAGTGTTATTCGGTGGTATACCAGGAAAGTGGGTGAAGGAAATGACCGTGATTAAGGTAATAGAAATAAAAATGTGGACAGAATGTAAGAAAGGGTCACTTTTTGTAATTAAGTAAGAGCGTTAAGTTTCGAATAACACCAACTGAGAGAGATTTGTAAAGAATTTAAAAATAGACGAGTTTGGAAGCAAAGCTTTAAGTTAAAAATACACGAAAGAATACGAGGGTGGATTGATAAGTTTCCGGCCTAACCAAGAGATGACGCCACTAGGCCTACCTTGAGGTGACATTCTATAGTACCATCCTTGGATAGCTTGTAGCTATAGTTTCAGCCCGATCTCCTTGCTAGTGTAGGTTTGACAGCACGCTGAACAAGACGCCTCTGTGGTTTTCGTAAAAATGGAAAAGCAGGAAAATCGTGCTGTCATCAAATACTTTTATTTGAAGGGGTTAACGCCGAAGGAAATTAAAAAAGAGATGGACTCAACACTGGGGACATCCTCCCCGTCATATTCAACCGTTAAGCAGTGGGTTTCCGAGTTTAAAAAGGGTCGTGTGAGCACCTCTGATGGGCCTCGCTCAGGACGCCCCGTTGAGGTCACAACTCCAGATATGATCGAAAAAATTCATCAAATAGTGCTGGGAGACCGCAGATTGAAAGTGCGTGAGATAGCTGAGACCTGTAAGATGTCATATGAACGTGTGCAACATATTTTGCACCAACATTTGCATATGGAAAAGCTCTGTGCAAGATGGGTGCCGCGTTTGCTAACAGTCGACCAAAAATTGATTCGAAAAAACATTTCTACCGCAAATTTGTCATTGTATAAGCGTAATCCAAGCGAATTTTTGCGTCGATTCGTAACCGTTGACGAAACGTGGGTCCACCACTACACTCCTGAAACCAAAGAACAGTCTAAACAGTGGATTGGACCAGGGGAACCAACTCCAAAGAAGGCAAAAACAATTTTTTCGGCGAACAAGGTTATGGCTACTGTTTTTTGGGATGCAAGAGGTATTATATACATTGATTACCTTGCAAAGGGTAATACTATCACTGGTCAATACTACGCAGACTTATTGCAACGTTTGAGCCACGAGGTGAAAATTAAACGACCTCATCTGGCGAAGAAAAAAATCTTGTTTCATCACGATAACGCACCAGCGCACACGTCAATCGTTGCGACGGCTAAAATCAACGATCTAAAGTTTGAATTGATGCCGCACCCTCCTTACTCTCCAGACCTAGCCCCGAGTGACTATTTTCTGTTCCCTAATCTCAAAAAATGGCTTGGCGGTAAGAGATTTGCGGACAATGAAGAAGTAATCGAAGCTGTAAATGGTTATTTTGAGGAGCTTGACGAATCAGTCTATAGAGATGGCATTAATAGACTGGAACACCGCTATGAGAAATGTATCAGCCTTGGAGGAGATTATGTTGAGAAATAAAAAAAAAAAATTTTTAAAAACCTTATTTTTCTTAATCAGGCCGGAAACTTATCAATCCACCCTCGTAGTAAAATCTGAAAACTACGAAAGAACTATTGAGAAGAGTAAATAAAAGAAACAGTCCAGACGTACGCATTGGAAACGGAAATAGAAATCTTTAATAAGTGTGAACAAGGGTAGAAAAGAAGTAAAAGTTAGAAATCGAAGATTCCAGATATATAATAATAGAATTAGTTACGGAAAATAAAAGTATAGGTACACGAAAAGACAAACGGATTGGGAAAACAGAAATGCATATGTACAATAAATTGGATACGGATTATAAAAAAAAATTACAAAAACACAAAATATACAAGACTGATAGGGACGAGTGTTGCAATAAACGTCACAACGTTAATGTTTTGTTGAAGGGTGGTAGAGGAATTAGACTTAGGTGAAAGATTTTTTTAAATGAAAACCACAGTTGCGTGTTATTAAAAAATAACATAAAATTGTATTAAAAGCACAAACAAAAACAAAACAGAAAAGGTATAAAAACGGTTACGATAGTAAAATTTAAGGAACATATAAAACTAGAACGATCACAATTGCTCCTTCTCTATAAACTGCCGTCTCACTACTAACACACCCTGCCTTGTACCTACGGTATTATTCGTCGCGAGTTCGCGGATCGATGCTTCCTCGTAACCCGAATACTCACCGGCACACGTGCATTTTGTCGTGCTTTACGCCAATAGAACATCCTCCTCAGCAAAAGAAGAATTCGACGGTTCTAGGCCTTGGCGAAGAATATCTTGCAAAAAGGATGCTTCAATATTGAGAGAACTACCGATTAATAATACGGTAATTGTAAACGGATAATCAGGTTTACGTATTTTTGGTATGGCATAAGTACGAACCAGTTAGCTGAAATAATGAAACTTTTGTAATATTCCGCTACATTTATGTATCCTTCATTCTTCCATTTCGTTAATAGACTTTTAAATCTAGTAATCAACGTAGAGGTGGGATCCTTTTTAAGCGGTTTATGGGTGCTTTTATTTCCCTCTAGACCTTCAACTTTAGATACATATGTACCCTTTTCCAGAGCCACAGTATCGTTACCTTTGTCAACTATCATAAACATCATATCTTGATTGTTGCAGGTGTAATATTTGGTTCTTTTTATGTTTTTCTCAAGTTTGTTTTGAAAGAAGTTTTGTCTTTGTGTGTAATTACTGATAATCGGAGTGACATTCTGTCTAACGTCATTGTGTTTTCCACTAGGAAGTTTGTAAAACTTGTTCTCTATACTTTGTCTCTGGTGGTAACTTTACTATCCCTTTGATTAAATTCGTTGCTTAATGAAGCTACCGACTAGATTTCCCTGTTAGTAAGATTTTTGAACCAATTAAATAATGTAGAATTAGTAATTTATTTTGGTTATAGTCTATTTAGTTTTATTTGTTGTGTACAGAAGTCAATGTTGACTGGTAGTGGGTTCATTATGTCAGTCTCCAAAGAGTTAAGACATTTTTTAGGAAGCGCAAGTGATAGTGTTTGTCGTTAATCTCGAGATTGAGTAATCTTAAGTTGAGTTGAGTTAAAATTAGTAATTTGTCAACATACATTTGAAATGTTATTCACCTTAACCGTAAAACACTGATGACAGAAATCCCACCTGGATTAATAAACGGAATAGAAAACGCTTTTAACTATCTCTTTAGAAAAGTAGCCAAAGACTAATGCGAATATCTAAAAACAAATATGTATATGCTTTTTGAAAATCAAAATAAATCAATGTATATATTTAATAAATTCAATCAAAACTGTGCTAGGAAATTATAATGGCATTCAACGCGTTTAATTCTGCTACAAGTAATTTTCAAAAAGAAACAAACATACTACATTTAACGTAAGTTGCGACAAACCTTTTAACAGAGATGTAACTTATCTAAGACACAAGTATCTGAAATACAGATACAAGATACAAAGTACGCATTTTCATCTTGTATCTATAAAACGTTTTTAAAATTCATTTTGTATCATGTATTTACAATACTTTGTAAATACCTTTGTTTGGTGTCTTACTATTTTGTATATACTATGTTTGCTAAAATACTTTTAGTATTCGAAAACTGATTCTATGGTGACAGGCATCTTAGGTTAATATACATTAATTTTAAATGTCAATGTCGTCGTAGATAAAAACTGAACGCGCCATTGAATCTTTAGTCTGGGCCCAAATCGATAGAAAACACAGGATCTACTAGCAGCACCGCTGATTTAGAAACATTGCAATACAATGCTTATCCTACAATAAAAAAATATTTTCAAATACAACACCTGTTTGCCAAGTTCTGCCTTGTGGAGCGACTCTTCTCATTTGGGGACATGATCATGAGGCCTGATCGAAGAAAAATGAACGATAAATTTGTCTTACTTAAGTCTCAATTAAAACCTTACAAATACTAAATAATATTATGTTGTGCCACGATCAATGCGATTTACATGTAAAAAAAATAAACATTCATTAAAAAAATGTTTTTTACAAAAGTATTTTATCTATAAAAAGTATTCAAAAGATACGTATTTTATATCTAGTATTTCAGATACCACACCAGAAAGTTATTTGCATCTGGTATCTGAAATACTTAATTTAATTGTATTTTGTATTCCAGATACTTTATTTAAGGTATCTTGTACATCACTGCCTTTTAAATAATTTGCAACTTTTAGATAGGTCAATTACTTTCGTAGACAAAAATATTTCAAATTACGAATTTACTATTAATGAATAAATTAATGGGTTAATTATAATCACCAGGAAAAACCAGTTGCTGTCAACAAACAAAGAACCATAAAATCGTTCAAAAAACCAATTATCTAATAATGACAAAATTCAATAACACTTGAAAATTTTTATTTATTTAATGTAAACTGAACAATTAATTTTGTTTTAGCATTCTTACCAGCGGCTTCATTCACGGTTTGTTTTAGGTTCAGGGTGTTGGTTTGGTACTGGCACTTACTTATTTATATATTCGTTTATTTATTTATTATTTATACATGTATTTATTCGTTTACTTCATCTGCGTAGAATTAGTACTTCCAGTAACGTACTTTTTGTCTCCAAGCTTTTATTAACCTTTATACTAATTAAATAAATTAAAAAAATGAAACTGCTTTATGGTCAGATGTGAAGGTAATATCTACGTCTCAATAATAAAGTTAGTAGGACAATAAATGAGATGTAATAATCTCGGTGATGCCGAATTCCCTCCCGCAGGTAGTTTTGGTTAAAATATAGATAGTCGAATTCCCTCCCGGGTATTAGCAGAGCTCCCTCCCGTTCGTATCAACTCCGATAATTAAGTTACTACGACTACTTACCGATTTTATTTAATAATTTTAGAAAAAAAAGACATATCAGTTATGAAATGTTTATTTATTTAATTTTAAAATGGTTTCCCCCTACCTTAACAAATTCAATGTTTGGAAATTCGTGTGCGTCTAGCTTTTTGATGAAATCATCCAGAAAAACTTTATTAGTTTTAGTTTCTCTTGTATTTGACCAATAGAAGTGTAGTCTGATAAAATTATTATTGTTATTGTGGTGTCTATAATATATGAATAATATTAAGATTAATATGTTATGTGAGGCTGTATTATTTAAACAACTCTTTATGACTTTATAGTGGCAATTAGCACTCAAGGTCCGCCGCCGTTGGGAGGCAATTGATGTATAATTACGAGGGAATTCGACATACCGAAAATTTTTACCTTACTTGAAAAGGGGTATATGAAAGGGAACTAGACATTATCCAATAATTTGAAACAGTCATAATTTATTTTAACACATTTTTGTAAACTACATTTCTGGTTTTTCCATCCTTTGTTAAAATATGAGATTTTATGTACTGACTAGTCGTGAGCACGTTACATACAGTTGCCCAACTACTATTGACAGAATTTTATTATGTAACCCTAAAATACTATAAAATAATAATCAATGAATAGGTTTTAGTTTTCCTTGACAAACAACCCAGACGATACCAAAAATTAACAAGCCGTCGAGTGGATCTGGACTGTGTGTCGCATCACTGGTGCAATACTTAAGGTCCACAAATCGAGTTATGTCAGAACCAATTAGATTCATCATCATCATAAGGTCGTCAGTCCTAACCTGGTTGGACACGCACTTCCAACTCTTTCCTATATTGAGCTAATCTTCGCATTTCCCCAAAACTAGAATAACCTATATCCTTAACTATTTGCGAATAGTAATCTAATCTAGGTCTACTTCTACTCCTATTTAGATTAGATAAATATTTTTCAAAAATTTCCAGGATTTACTGATTTTCAGTTTTTTGTTTAAACAAGAAAACGACTCGACCGAAATGTTATGTAATTTTTTTTGGATAATATTGCCGTTACTATGCTTCGATCAGCACTTCAATGAAGTCGATATCATTTTTTGTTTGCGCGATATCTATAAAGAAAAATGATCACGCACGGATGTATGCACCCCCACCATTACCACCTCCTACCCCACCACCACACACATTCACCCACGCACGCTTCCACCCACACCATACTTCTCCAAATTTTGTTGTGGTGCTATGCTCACTTTTAAATTTCAAAATATGTTGAAAACCGTGATTTTTAAAATTGGAGCCATTACAATATCGATTACTATTTACTATTTGTTTATAACATTTTATGTACGGGTAGATAAAACAGAACAAAACTATTTTTCCCAAAAATCGGACAATATTCATTTACAATTAAAAAATGTTACGTGCTATTGGCAGAAACATATACACTGATTGCCTTAACCACTTGGAATTTAATAACGACTAAAACTCGTAATGTGGTTTAAACTTCATACCTGAAATGCATTTGTAGGAAAGACTTTTAAGGATAAATTAAAAAGTCGAAGTTCATTAAGAGTATTGTTGACCCCAAGAAAGGCGTAGTCATCAATTACATCAATTGGTGTATCCTCTATTTGAAGTAGATTAATTTGAAGATTATAAAATAAACTTCCAAATAATCGACCTGAAAAAATATAATAATTAAAATGGTATGCAAACATACATATACAGTTGTGAGTTGCTATGCCGAAATTGGTCATACGTAAAGTTCAAAATAGAGAAAAATGTATAATTTAACAGTTGCATGGAGTTAAGTGTATAATGTACCATTGTTAGTTTAAATGGAACTACCTACTTTTTATTGCATTTTTAAATTCCCCACAAAAAAATAACGTCAGATTAATAACGTTTGTTGGATCTGGGTTACACCGTTCTGGAGTTGTTTCTTGTTTATAATAAAACAAGGCGCAATGCTTTTTTCGGGATCGTAGCGCAGCGTGAATAAAAATGATCTGGGCCGGTAGCTCAATGAAAGAAAATAAAACGGCGGCAAAGTCTTTGGAATGTTTATGTACAGGAGCGATAACTGGTCGCATGGACGGTCTAGTACCAAGTTAAAACTTACATCTAAATTACTATACTATACACCAAGTTAACCCCCTGCGCGTCTCTTTCCCTCCGGTATGAGACGACGAAAAAGAACCGGATGAATGTAATAAAAATTAGAAAGTTATCTCTGCTAAAACGCATTTTGCTAGAAAACTGTTTGTTACCCTTCGGCCGCTTCGCTACCCTTGGAAGTGCAGGTAGTCGAAGGCTTTCGAAGTTTTGTGATAAATTCGGCGGGAAAAAGACGCAGAAGGTTAAATATTCTATTTACAAATTCTACGAACTACAAACGGCTTAAATACAATTTGGCCCGAGGGTAACTAGCGTGACCGCTACACTTTTAAAAGAAGAATTAGTAGATATGGTCTACACTTTAGGTAATTCAGAAGGAAATCCATTACTTGCTTCGAGAATGTATGAGTAACGCTTTCCCAACCGTAGACATCTAAATTCAGTGGTACTTGCAACTTTGAAAGAAAGGTTTGAATGAACTGGCTGTGCAAATTACGAGAAGAAAGAACGCATAAAATCAGTAACTCACGATGTAAATCAAGTTTTGGTAACTGCTGCAGTTGTACAAAATCCCCATTTAGGCAACAGGGAAAGAAGTCCAGAATTACAAATTAGTCGAGCATCTGTATCAAGAATATTGCGGAAAAATAAATTTCATCCGTACCACGGTTAACTTAGTTTATGAACTACACCATAGATTTAAATAACGGAATAATTTTTTTTTTACAATGTACTATTTACGGACGAATGCTTTTCACAAGAACGGTTTTGCCTCAAGATACAATTGCTACTATTATAACACCGAGAATCCCCATAGGTTGAGACCCGTGGATAATCAGCACAGGTGGTGTTTGAACGTACTTGAACCATATTTTTTTCACGGGACTTTAGACGGATTTACCGCAAATGTTAGAGAATTTGCAATAGCTCCTGAACAACAGATGTGGTACCAGTACCAATTATCTCGATACTTAATTTCCAAACAAGTGGATTGGAAGAGGAGGTCCGATATAATGGCCAGCGCGATCTTCAGACCTAAAAATAGCAGATTTTTTTTTGTGCACTTGCTATCGTGAGGCTGGTGGTTATGTACGACATTTAATTTAATTTTATCAATAATTGTTTCGAAAACCTTTAAAGTTGTTTTATTTAATTTGACATTGAAACTTTTGTATCTACTTCTACAACCGTATTCAATAATTAGTACCTAAATTGAAAATCAAAAAACAAAACCAACTTGCCAAACTTTTAAAACGGCTAACGTGATAACGCGATATTGAAATTTTCGAAAAAATTGCAAATTTCTCGAAAACTACTGGTCATAAATATTAACACACCTATTTCAATCGAAAGGAAAAATTGTGTATTATACTTTGAGAGAAAAAATATGCCATTCCATATAAAACTAAATTATACCTGTCCGAATTTGTGAATATTGGCATCGATAAAAAGTGTACTATTTATAATGTATGTTTTTATGGAATATATGTGGTTGACAGAAAATTTCTTCAAGAAAAGAAATATGAAAGCCCCAACCCTGTAAGTCCATTCGTTTCGGAGAAGTCCAGAGCGATGCGATCCAATAAATGTTAATAAACTCACATTATTTTTTATGGGAAATTTAAAAATGCAATAAAAATTAAGTAGTTTCATTTAAAATAACAAAGTTACGGTACAATTGCGGTATAACCGGAAATATTTGAAAATATTTTTACATTATTATACACTTAACACTATGCAAACTGTTATTTAAAATTTTTCTCTATTTTGAACTGTACGTGTATGAATGACCGATTTCGGCTTATTGACTCACCCTGATATGTGTCGTAGGATAAGAAAATCAGTTTTTTTAACCAACTAAAAGCTTAACATTATTTAGTTAAACATCAGGAATTAATTTTATCGACATATTGTCTTATTTTTCGGCAGTTTCAGTTTTCTTCACCAAAAAAATATTAAATAACCAAGCAAAATGTAGAGATTTAATTAACTATAACTGGCAACGTAGTCTTCAGCTGAAAGACTAGTAGAGTTAAGTAGTGGAAATAGAGAAAAACAGGAAAGAAATAATAGAAAAGGAATAAGGAGACAGAAGTATGAATTGATAACAAAAAAATAGTGATGGGAATGATTGGAAACAAAATTAAAGTAACAATAAATTAATAACTAATGTTGTAGAAGAAGAACAGTTACACAGAGACATACATGAAGGTGTAAGTGAACGATGGGAGTTAAGTTAAGAAAAGGAAAAAAGTGGATAAAACTATGGAACATATAACATAGGTCATACTCTAGTAAATCCATCAACGAGTTTCCGATTAGGAAATATGCTGGTGTGAGGATTTGCAAATCAGAAAGATTAGTTGAGGTGGGTGTCAGTGGATGGGAATTGACAATTGCTTTGATTTGGATAAGGAGTATGGCAATTTCTTCGAACGTTAGCAATGTATTTTTAATCATTTACTTTAAATGTTGTTTGACAGACCGAACACATCGCTCCCACAACCCTCCAAAATTCGGGGATCGGGCCGGTATGAAATGCCTTCTTTTCACGGATAAAGATAAATTTCAGACTTAATTTTATCGTTACAAATAAAATTTTGAATTTCACTTAATTTAATTTTTGCATCAGTAAAAATTGTTGCATTGTCGCAATAAAACTGAGAAATTTTACCACGTCCTGCGATAGATCGCCTTAAAGTGCCTATGAATCATTCGAGTGTGAGATCTCCCACCACTTCTATATGCACAGTCCTTGTCACCATACATACGAGCAATGCAACCCATGCTATGATCTTTGTCTTACTTCGCTTACCACCTGACTTTATATGTTGTAGTAGATCAAAATTCAAAAAGGGTCTACGCGGTTCAGGATGATCTTTAGTTAAGTTTCTCATTTGTTGATCGAATAGTTTTCCTTTGGTTTTACGTTAGTACTTTGCCTTTGATGTCGCTAAGGTTTCGGTTGCGCTTGCATAAAATAAACATGTTGAAATTTAATTAACAATCGCGTTATGTGATGGTTTGAAAATAAGATTATAGAATGTTTGCCACCATACAGAAGAAATGTTTCCTTTAACCTATCACCCATTCGTATTAGTTTCTATTCGCCAGTAAAGGGTCCAATGTATAAATAATTTACTTAACTTATTAAGTAAGCTTACTTATTATCTACCTTTAATTCGTGATAATTCTTCGACCGTTAGACGACCTTGACATTTCTTCCGTATTATTGAAAAATCTATAAATATAGGCGGTATCTCGTTGAAGTCGCGTAAACGATGAAAATTTGGAAAAATAGGGAACATATAGCGTTAACTAATGTTACTTCTCGCTTCCTTTATATTCCTTAATGACAAGTAGAAAATTAATATCTGACCATTTAGATCTGTCTTGTGTCATAAACTTTGGTCCTTTTCAATACATCTCAAAGACTATAAACTGTTTTCGTTACACACTGCGTGAGATAACCAACGGCTGGGTTTAATTATCAATTGTGGTACCAGTCGGAAATATTAGAAATATCTTGTATCTTTGACATTCGATCAGCAACCAAACACTTGTCAGAAATTGGCGTTCGTTTTAATATAATGTAAAACCACTGCTGAATCCCCGAAATAATATTTTTTAACGATTTTTAAATTAGCGCGGGACAAGGTTCCAATCTGGGGATGGTTACTATTTTAATCGGACTTACTTGCGATTTGCTACATTTTAATGAAGTATGATACTCTCTATCTGTGGTTTGTGTTGGTCATACATAGATCATTGTTCCATATGCTAGAGATGCGTCGCAAAATGCTATTAACTCAATTTGCGAAGAAGGCTTAGGAAGAACATTTCGAAGCATTTGTAAACGATTCAAATGATTAAGTAAATTTTCCAAGCTGTTTCGATATATACAGGTACATGTTGTTCCTAGTCTAGGTTTAGACACCAAAGGGTTTGCATAAGGATCTTTGCCTTAACTATATATTACAGGAGATACGATACCAGTGGTATCGAATAATTTGGCAATGGAACTTGGATTCCGTCATAGCCTTAAAACTTTAGAAGTTTGCATCGGTTGAAAATTAAGCATTATCGGTTCATTTTGTGATGTCTTTGTATTAACATTAGGTAATATTTCGGGCGTATTACTTGTCCATTTACTTTAAAGCAACCTCTACTTAATACACAAATTATTTGTCAAATTAGTTCTGCTGCTTTTCGTTTGCTATCTTCTCCATTTAGCACGTCGTCGCCCATGTATCTATCTCTAGTTAGTAATATTTAAAATTAATTGTAATAGCCGATGTACTTTTATAGGTTAATTTTTTGAATATCGCCAAGATAGTCTTTGATAATCGATGTGGTTTCGGTTTATTTTTTCGATGTCGCATGAAATGACAGTTTGCAAATTAGGATCCGTCAATAAATTATTGTTCAAATTTATTGCATTATTCGAATTTTCAGATCCTTTGAACACCATTCTTAGTTTTGATGATTTTTCGGATTTCTTGAAAACCTCCGAATGAGGTAGATAAAATCGGTTTAGGTAATACCTTAATAAAGTTCCTTTTC